ATGTAGAAAATAGGCAAATAAACAATTAACAAAGCATTAAAATGGCTCGTAAGCGTATTAAAAAATGTTCAGTTCACTTGTAATAAAAGAAATACAATGAAAACTACACCAAGAGCCAAGTATGGTGTCAAACACCTATAACCTCAGTACTCAGGAGACAGAGACAAGAGGATTGTGACTTTAAGCCAGCCTTGGCTACACAGTAAAACAAACAAATAGGATGGATACTAGTTGAAAACTATGGTACATACAGTGGAGGACTGCACAGTAATTATTGGGGGGCTGGAGAGATAATTCAGTGCTTAAGAGCTCTTGCTGCTCTTCCAGAAGACCTGAGTTTGGTTCCCAACACCCATGCTGGGCAGCTCACAACCATCTCTAACTCCAGCTCCAGTGGCTCCTATGCCCCTTTCTGACCTCTGCCAACACCTGCACACATATGGCAGATACACAGAAATGAAAATAAAACCTTCAATATATATACATATATGATTTATTTTATTATTTTTATTTTATATGTATGAGTGTACCACCTGCATGTGTGTAAGTGTACCCGTGTCATGCAATGCCCGAGGAGGTCAGAAGGCATTGGATCCCCTGGAACAGGAGCTAGAGGTGGTTGTTAACCACCATGTGGGTGCTGGGAATCAAACCTGGGTCCTCTCCAAGAGCAGTCAGTGCTCTTAACTGCTGAGCCATCTCTCTAGCCTATTCAATATATATTTTTTAAAAAGAATGAAATTTAAGTGTATTATTTTTCAGTGGCTACTAGGAAACAAACATTTATTAAGGTATAAAACTGTAGAATATTTCTTTTGACCTAGAGATGCTTTGAAAAATTACTGCTGAACTGGAGAGACGGCTCAGTGGTTAAGAGCACTGACTGCTTTTGCAGAGAACAGATTCAATTCCCAGTACCCACATGGTAACTAATAATCATCCATAACTCCAGTTCCAAGGGATCTGACACCCTTTTCTGACCTCCTCGGGCATCAAATGACATGGGTACACTTATATTACATGCAGGCAATATATTCATACACATAATTTTTTTTATTTTAGTATTTTGTTTATTTATTTATTTTATGAGTGTACTGCCTGCATGCATGTAAGTGCACCCATGTTGTGCAATGCCGGAGGAGGTCAGATCAGAAGGTATTGGATTCCCCTAGAACTGGAGTTACAGATGGATATCAGCTGCCACATGGATGCTGGGAATTGAACCTGGGTCCTCTGCAAGAGCAGCCAGTGCTCTTAACCATTAAGCCATCTCTCCAGACCCATTAAAAAAAAATTAAAAAGGAAAAAATTACTTCTATAATAAGAGTGTCATGAACTGAGAACACTTACAAAGTTCTGACAAAACCCAGTGATGACCTGACAGAGGAGAAGGTGTGTGCACTTCTACAGTTAGGAAGTGACTATGGATGGGGGTCAACAAAATCTGCAATAAGCTAATGAAGGCACTTTCCACAGTGCAGGAAGTAATGAACAGAGGTTGTTTAATACAGAAGAAAAGCACCTAGTCCTTCCCTTTCTGCCCCCCTCCTTCTCCCCAGGGAGACTGTCACTTGTGTAGCCCAACTCACAATCCTGCCTCAGCTGAGAACTATAGGTGTGGCCACCATATCTGGCTATTGCTGCTTAGCCCAGTCTAGATTTCTTTTCTCTTCTTTTGAGATATGTGGGCCAGAAGAAGAACCTCAGCTAGACTAATTTTTGGACAAGATTAACCTAAATGAAGCCTGAAGGACTAGTAGCTTTCTAGATTGGGGAAAGAACTCCAGGAAGGAAAAATAGACCAGCTGAGTAAACACGAGCAGTCCAGGATCTCAGAACTGCAGGAACTGTGCACCACAGAAGGAGGTGAAGCTGGTGAGTGAGTATGCTGACGAGTACATCTGGAAGGTTTTCTGTACAGAATTAAGGACAATGCTCATGGGGGTTAGAGAATTTTTTTCTCAAAAAAATTAGAGTAATTACCCCACCACTACACCTTTAAATCAAGAAATGAACACATTCTCTAGACTGAGCATTTTTAAAAATGACCTTTTTTTTTTTTTTTTAAAGTACATACTTGGGGAGGAAAAAAAGCAATTTGACTGTTAAGAATAGAGTCCTATAACTCTTATGCTATACTGTCTTACAGTCTCAAGCAGTAAAGTCACACCTAGCACACCTCTGCTTTGTCGTTGTTAAACCATTCTTCCTTCTGTTCCACATCTCCTCTACCTACATTAGTGGAAGAAAGCACAGCAGCGTGATTTCAAACAGGCCACAGCACCCCTCTCAAACAGGGACAACTCAGGTGCGGCAGAGGTGGGTACTGCACAGGTAAAGAGCCATCAAAACACCTACAAGTTTAAGAACAATGTCTAAGCACTTTTCATCATGGAACACACAGGATGTATGTGTGGGCACAATAACACTGGGTATGTAGGCCCCCCTGGAGATAAAGAGGATAGCAGCCACTGTGTGAGGCCCCTTGGCCAGGGCCACTAGTGAGTCTAGGCTATACTTGACAGCCCAAAACGCCAAGATCAGTATCTTTGCTTTCCTGAAGCTCAGCTCAATCAAAATTATTTCCTTCAGCCTCTTAGGATTAACTGCAATCTTCAGTCTCTCAGAAATTGTTACTGTACTTTCAAATCCTGGTTCTACTACACACTGGCTTGTGGGCTAAGCCTCTGGTCAATAACTTCACTTAGCCTTAGTAAAGTATTGCTAAAGAGGTATTGTGGAGACAAGAAATAATACAAGCAGTACTTCATTACAATATTCTTACCACAGTGCTTGATGGGCAATCAATATATGAGAACTGTTATTACCAAGAGAGTTGTTGAACTAAAGGGAATCTAGCCTCTGTATAGTAGCAATGCTGCTGGGATAAGAACCCTAGGCTTCCTTCTCTCAGGCTAAGAATGAAAACATTATTTAAAACAATGGAAAGCAACCATCTCCTACCTCAAAATCAAATCTCTTCCCTCATTAATATTCACAGCTTCTTATTCCAGTGTTTTAAAAATTGTCATTGGCACTCATTCATGAAAGAATCTAAGAGCACATTGCTCTGACAGACCCATAAACAAGTAATACTGATACATTTATTCATGCTCTGTAGAAACTGGAAAGCCAGTGTAGGACACCACCACATACTAGGAGAGGGAAAGAGACAGCAACAGCTTGTTCTTATTTGGACATTCCTGAACTGAGAACGATGCAACCATCTATAGGGCAAGACATTCCCTTACAATAGGTAAGCAAAATTCTTTCCTACAATTAGCCTTTTTCCCTTGAAAGGCCTGGGCAGGGGAAAGGGTTGTAATGAGACACTGCTTCAAAATGATGATACAAATAGCTGCACACTCAGCAGAAACACTAGAGAGCAGCATCTGGATCTCAGAACAGAAAAGGGAAAGTGCTGGTTGGTAAAAGATGCCAAGGTCATATCAGGGCGGCGGAAGATTTCACGTATCCATGGCAAAAATAAGGCACTACACGCAATTCTGCCATGCACCAGGTTTCCAAACATTATTAACTCTCAACTTCCTCTCTTTGATTAAGATTGGGTATAGGTATCAACTCCAAACATAAACTTACTGTCTTTTGTCAGGAAATCTCCTTCTAACTCTGAATATACTTAAGAACTAAACATCTAAAAATGGAAAATTATTATATTGCCCAAGCACAATCTCCAAGTATTGGTAACCTTTACAGGGCAGAGTTTTGAAAGGCAAATTCTTCCTGAGATGCTCTTTCACCTTCTAATAAAACAAAAAGACAAAGAAAACATTTATGTGCCAAAGATCTCAAACAAAACTGTACTCTAACAAAATTTTGTTTGAGGCGGTGCTGGAGCTTGAACCCAGGACTTTCTGATTGCTAGGCAAGCACTCTGCCACTGAGCTACACCCCTAACCCAAATCAGTTACTTCTGGAAGGTAACTATGAGATCACTTTACACAGTCATTCATTCACTGAAGAAATGTGTCAAATTCCAGGCATATTACAAGGAAATAGAGGAAAACGAAATGGTTTCTTCTCTAAAAAAATTAAGGCCTAGAAACATCTTAAGGGTCACAAAAGTCATTTTACAATAGTGTATCCACAAAGACAAAAGCATAATCTTAAATTACATTTAGACACATTAACAAACATAAGCCAAAAGGAATGTTTTCTACCGCGTAATGAAATCTGTTATCCAATTTTTGGAGGATGATTAAAGTTCTAATTTATTTACAGGAAGAGAATTAACTTAATTACGTTCTACAAAGGTGCCCTCCTGCGCACACACACATCAAACTGTTTGTAAACTGGGTGCTTTCCAGGTTGACAGGGCGTGGCACCGGAGTTCTCACACTACCTCAAAGACACTGGGATGAGCTCTCACAAGTCTGGACACTGGTTTCCAAACAAAGGCCAGTTCGTTGGCCAATTTCCCCTAAGCCCCCCAACAACACGGCCACCCCAACGCGGGCACGCCCGCCCACTCACACATGCATACACACCCAGCTAAAGCACAGAAATCTCATCTTCCACTCCTGGAAATCTTTCAAGAACAAACCACAGAAGACACCCCCTCCCACCCCCAAAGCAAAACACCTACATTCCGGTCCTCGTCCAGAGGCTAAACCGGGGCAAGAGCCTAGGAGCTCAGTGGGACGCCGAGCGTCTGACTTCAGCCTGAAAAAGCCATTCCTATAACTGGCACAAACCCGCGGAGATGCTTAAAAAGCAGCTGCTCCGTACCGGCCCGGGGTGAGAACGAAGGGAACGAGAGGGTGGAGTGCGGCGCAGGGGCGATGCGGCGGCGGCCCCAGGTCGCGGGCACCGCCTGGGCGGGGCCGTGGGAGCCGCGGGCACGATGCGGTGACCTTCCCGGGAGGCCGCGGTTCTCTGGGCGCACCCCGCCCGGCCGCGGCCCGCGGTGCAATCTCGGCGGCCGCCCGCCTCGCCCGGTGGACACACCCCCGCCTCCGCAGCCCCACCTCCGCACTCACCTGTAACGCGAGCCGCCCCGCGGGCTCCGGGCCTCGGCTGCCCCTCAGCAATGCTGGGAGCTGCGCTCGGAGCTCCGCGCGGGAGCGGCCTGGGCGGTGGAGGAAGACTAGGCACTCCGCTCCGGAGACCCACCCTCCTCCCCGGCCCCGCTGCAGCAGCGGCAGATCACTTCCGGGGTACCGCGGGCGGGGCAGCCGGCACTTCCGGTCCACGGTGCTGAGCCGGATTCCGGTGGGAGAACAAAAGCCGTGCCGGTGCGGGTGGATTGGCGTGTTGCACGGCCCTTTGCGGGTCCAGCCTTGACTCTGCGCCCCCACCCCCACCCGAGGCCTGGCCGGTCCCGGCTCCTCGTCTCTTCCAGGAAACGGAGGGGCTCTGGGGAAAGCAGTGTGTGGGGGGCCGGCGCCATCTTGCTCCTGGGGACCGCTGGATTTTGTGGCCCATCAACTCCTAGGATGTGGGTCGGTCGCCTGGTCTGGCCCTATCCCTTGGAGATCTGGCCTCTGCGGATGGTCTCTCTTCCTTTCCTGTGGCCCTGGCACTGATTTGATGGCTTAATACTTTGACTAAGTGGGTTGATTTCTTTAAATCCCTCCACAGGTTGGACATAGATTGTTTTCTCTATGTCCGTTAACAGCCACATATTCTTTTCTGATCATTAAGTTTTTCTTATCTCCCTTGGCCCCATTTTGAGTGCCAACCACATCCTTGGCATAACCCATTCAAGGAACGCCTTGCACAGGCCAATGGGCAGAGAGCAAATAACTGGAAGGGTGTTACATCGTGCAGAGGAGAGAATTGATGGCTTTGCTACCTGTAGGTTTTTCCAGTACAAAAGGATGGCAAACCTGGAACCAAATAAGAGCGTACAGCAGAGACAAATAATGTGTTTTGAGAAGGCTGAGTAGCAGTTACATGTTTTCAAGTTCAACCTACTGAAAAAGATGAGGTTGCAGAAGCAGAATGGAGTCAGTCAAACTGCCTTCCAAACTCAGAAAGTCGAATGACTGGACAGATATAAATTACAAGCTATCCTTTCATTGGTGGAGGACAGATTAGTTGGCAGATGGTGGGGGTGAGGGAGCAGCAGGGCAAGCAGAGGGTAGGCAATGGACCACAGCAGAAGAAAAAAGCAAGGGTCCCTGTGTCGGCAGTGAGCATCCAAAGCAGATGGATTCCCAAATGATAGGACCAGATAAGTTGAGAGTTGTTTGCTGGGGGCAGCTGGTGGGTAAGAGGACTAAGTGGCCATGAGGATGCTGTGTATTGCTGTGGGAGAAGGGCAGGGTGAAAGTGTATTTTCTTTGTGTGGTGTTAGTTGTTTTGAGGTGGTGTAATTCCAGGGTGGCCTCAAATTGGCTTTGTGACTGAGAATGATACTGAACTTTTGGCATCCTAGCTCCACCTCTCAAGTGCTGGTATTACAAGCCTGCACCACCATGCCTGATTTAGATTGGGGATGGAACTCTGGGCTTTCTGCCTGCCAAGCAAACACTGTACTTAATAGCTACATCCCCATCCCATAAAAGTGTTTTGTTGTTTTGTTTTGTTTTAACCAGAGATAATGAAGAATCAGCATGAGTTGTGGGAAGAAGATATCTTTAGTTTGAAGAGTGGTGTCTAAATGGCAGTTGCTTATATGGGTTGAGAACTGTGGGGGGAGGTGAGTTGAAATTAGAAACACCACAGGTTTATATTACTACATTTAAGCAGGCTGCATTCACTTCTTTGAGCATAGTTTCAAAACCATTTCTTCTTTCTCCCTGCCTTGGGAAATTTTCTGAAATACTATGTTAAGAAAACAATACATGGCAGATTCATATCACTACCCATAGACCAATATTCTAATATCTAATGATCTTGTGACTATAAAGTTCAGGCATGCCAGAAACTGTAGACAGTGCTAATTTGTAATATCATAAACTCAGGTGAAGTATTATGTATGTTGATATTTTAAAGATGTTTTTAATAATTGATAATAGCTTAAACTAGCCACACCAAGGGTTGGGAACGAGGAGCATCACAAATAGCTGCTGAATGGGGAGCTAGAGTGAGCAACAGAAAGACTATGAAGACAACATCAGATTGTCTCAGATGCTGCTTGGTTGTTCATAGCTATGCTAACCTAGCATAATGTTAGAAATGGAATGGTCCATTTTGAGCAGAAGCTTCAGAAAGCCACAAATAGCAAAAACCCTGCAAAAGCTACAGCAGCCAACCAAAGACTAATCATCAGGTTTTACTCTATATTACTATAGAATAGCATTTTTGAGTACACAATCATAAACCCATTTACCTTTAATTCTTAGACTATTTAAATATATTTTAAAGGTGTGGTATACACCTTTAATGTCCTTACTTGGGAGGTACAGACAGGTGGATTTCTCTGAGTTCCAGGCCAGCCAAGGCTACTTAGTGAGACATTGTCTCAAAAAAAATTTTTTTTTTCTTAGAATAGGTATACATTTAGATGTTTTAAGCAACCATATAGCTGGATGTGGTGACTCAAGCCTGTAATCCCAGAACTTAGGAACCTATGGCAGATGGATTATAGGGAATAATTAGTAAAGGTATTCAGTGACATCTTTCTGCAACTACTAAAAACAAATTATTTTTGGCTCAGCACAGGGTCTCACTGTGTAGCCCTGGCTGGTCTGGAGCTCACAGGGATCCTCCTGCCTCTACATCCTGAGTGCTGCACCACCGTGCCTGGCCACAGTGCCATTTTTATCATTTAGAAAAAGAAGTTCAGCCTTATGACATACCTTGACTCGTTAATTAAGGTGAGGAAATTAGTGCTCCTTTACTCACCTTTCATTCTGTTACTTTCTGATGCCTTTCTATATCAAAGTTGTGTTTAAATTCTGTCCTGTATATAATGACTCTGCTGACCAGTATTTGTGGCCCATTTCCAAGTTTGAAATTCCAGTAAAGAATACAGCATTTTTAAAAATAAACATTATTATTATTTTCATGTGTATGAGTGTATTGCCTGCATGTAGGTAGGTGCACCTGCCGGGGACTTGAACCCACGACCCCCAGTGAGATGAGAATTGGGGATGAGTAAGCACACCATTCGCCAGCCCACGCTGCCCCCATTACCCGGGGACACTCAGACACAATGGGGAGCCTAGTCAAGCTGGGACTCATTTATTGCAAATGTTCTAAAGCTTATAGAGGCACCTGGAACTACCCCTCCCCCCCCCGAGGGTGTATCTTAAGGATGGTCACACGCTGATCATGCACTCCTTAGTGGTGCGGAAGTATTCTTCAGACTTTCAAAGCAAGCCAGGCCACGTCCCCAGTAACTTCCTTTTGGACCTATGCAAGGTGGGGCTTTTAGGTCCCCACATATCCCCCTTTTTATTTTTATTTTAAGGCCAGACTGACTTTATTTCACGAGTTACCCACCTCATAGGTGGCTCCCTGAGGAGAGATGGCTATCTCCTTCCTCTAATCTTATGCATTTTTGCCCATCTTAGGTTGTGTCACCTCTGATCAAGCCTTGCCCGTCATTGGATCATGCACCTGGCCATGTGCATGTCCTGTCTTAGGAGTACTTGTCATGGGACATTTTATCCATCTTTAGCTAAAAATGTGTCATGATTAAGGGCAGCCGTGTGGGTAATGCCAGCCCATGACAGTCTTAGTCTCTGCCTAACTCGGTTAGCCAAGCGTGGGCAACCAGAGAGGCTATATTCCTGGGGGAGTCCGTAATCATGAGGAGGTGGGCTGTGGCAGTTCCAAGGGTCCTCTGTCACCGAATTATCTGGTAAAGACACTTAAAGCATTATCAAGAGAAACAAAGCAAGTCATGGCATAGGACAAGTTGAAATACTTCTGAGACCATGTCCCTTTTAGCCAATCAGCCAGATGTCAAAGAGACTGACTAGCAATGAAGTCAAGGAACTGGGTCCTTTACCTCAGATGGATACAAATAAAGAGAGGAATTTTGTCTCATGAACTGTTGTCCATGGACCGTCATGCTAGTCTGTCGGATCCTGGCCTACCCACTTAAGGTTTTTCACAGGCACCCATATGGGGTTTGAATCTCCTGTAGGGTAGACACACCCAAAGCCTCGACCCATGGTTAGCAATGGATCTGGGCCTCTCCATTGCCCCATAATGGGGTCCTTCCACCTTACCCGTACCTCGGGTCTCTGCTCCTGAAGTCCCCAATGCTTCTGAAACTGGGATTCCA